ATGTTTTGCAATTCTTGGAATCTTAGAAGCTGGACATTTTCCAAGAAAATCGTGTTTACTGTAAACTCGTAATTCTTTTCACCGTTATTTTTTTTGTCTATTTTTCTCGCTGTGGTCAGCTTTGCGTCAGAAGCTTCCAAAGTTTGATTTGGTGTTAGCATGTACTAGAGATGACATTCTTGGTTGATTTTCGATTACCTGACCTTCTTTGAACGAGATTATGTTCAATCATGGCAGTTAAGCATTTTTATTAGACATTCAACTCACTATCTCTCTCCTGATTGACCGAAAGCGCAAAGTGAATTTTCGAAATCAGCGCTTGTGACATCATCTAGCTGCAGATTATACAACAATCATGTCGAGATCACTCAAGGAAACGGGTAATCGTGTCATGTGTGGCCGCGGAACACGATTTTTAAGGATAATCATGTTAAGTTCGCGCGCTTTGTGTTGCTTGCCGTCAGTAAGGAAGCAAAAACATGACATCCAGGTTTGCTTCGATATTTTCTTCAGTTTAACTTATTTATTGCTATTTATTTTCTCAACTAGCTTTTACTCAATTTTTCACATATTTTCTAATGCATAGACTTTTTGTCAATCGAATTATGTGCCGCTGATTTGTATAGAAATTAATTATCAGTTCCACTTACTGTCGTGATATTTTTTCGTTCAATGTATAATGACAGAAAAATTATTAGATTCAGTTTTTGTGTATCCTCTACCTCGACCTTGATTATTATGGATATCACAAAAACCGACTCTAATGATTTTTTGTCATTTTGAACGAAAAAATAATTATCACGACAGTAAGTGGAACTGATAAATATGTAAAAATATACAGATAAGCGGCACATAATCCGAAAGGACTTGTCCGCGGAGACATACGGTTTGAATAAGTCAGTCATAGGACGAGACATGCGAGGCGAATGAGGAGTTTATAATGGGAACCAAAGCTAACTAGTAAATGTAAAATGGCTTAGAATGAAAAAAATCGTGCAATTTCCGTAACTGCCAACGCAAGTTAAACGCTAAAATTTCATTTCTAAGAAAAGTACGAGTTGGCGCTCAAGAAAATCCATCAACTAAGCGTGAAAACTGATAACAACAGCCAAAGACATTTGAAATGTTTTACTTCAGATAAACATAGTGATTACATAGTTTCTTTAGTTGGATATAAAAATCAATCTACGTTGAATTCATTATAACAAAGTAAAAATTTATCAACGTTCTATATGTCAGTCTTTGATCGATTTAGAAGGTAAATTATTTGCTTACCAGCGTCAAAAGGTGCTTTTAAAATTATCATCTACTTCAGCAAAGTTACAATAAATCGTCCAAAAAGAAAATTGAAGTAATTTCTTAAGTCCTGTTTTTGTGAAATCTAGTCACACTGAACAATGTTACTGTTACTAATACATATGGCATAACTAGTAAAACTTCTTGTATTGAAAAATTTTAATCGCCTCTCAAACCAGTTCCAAGAGAGAAACATCAATTCTCCGTTTTGAACACATTAAAGCAAAAGTCAAATCTTATGAGTGATTTCCTCCCCCTCCCTCTCCCTCCCTCTTTCTCAGTTTTTGTTGTTGCGTTTTTATGCGTTTACTTTGTTTTTGCTTTGTTTTGCATTTGATTTCCGCTTCATTTGTCATTTTTTGCTAATATTATATCGGGGCCGAGAAAAAATGTTGATCCATCTGGGAACTGAGAGTTCGAGAAGTAAAATTTGCATGATCAAATCAAGCTTCTAAGTGATCCTAGAAGTTGAATACGAACATAAAAACTAACAAAAAAGTGCCAATTCTATAAGATGATGAGCTTACATGAATATCAAAAAAAACGTGCAAAAGTGTCCATCCTCTAAAATGTGAGCTTTTATTATGTTAATGTAATGATAAACGTGATATACGCCATACTTTCATCTTAGTAACTTGAATATATATACGTTATATTTACAATACTAAGATAAACCCTGATCCCTTCGCTGGAAGACCTGAACTCATTCTAATTAAACTTCTCTTGTAGACTAATGATTACGATATTGGTAATAAGTACACTATGCCCTTTAAGGTAGATGAGGAAAAGTTAGTCTCATTTTGTGTTACCCCTATGTAAGTGTACACCAAGACGAACATTCTTGATCCAAATCTAGGTTTTCGTTTTCCTAATCTCAAGACAGATAACGGGACGCGATCTATTCAGCGAATGACTTCACCTGTCATTCCATTATTTGCAACAGTTGGGAAAGGGAAACTGTCCTACTAGAACCTACCTAATTCTTCCGCCAGTAATTCTGGAATCTTTGACCAAATGTGGAGTCATTAGCTTCCGACAACACTCGATAAAATCCTCGATTTTCAACATTTCTTTTTCTACCATATTCCCCATTCTGACATCATGATAAGCTGGTTCATTGACATTTGTATCATTTTTCGTTTTATTCCAATGTAATTTCCTCGTTATATTTCACTGACATTTTTGTATTTGGAGGGCCTTCAGTCGGCTGATCTTCGTGAAATATAAGTTCTCGTTCAATTCATTACTATTATTGTTCACTCACTTTCATGAATATTTAATCCTTATTTATCGAGGCAGCTTTTACAAAGGGACAACAAAGGAAGATTTTTGAAAATCAATTGTCTTCATTGAGAAAACGAGGGAACGGTATAGATTCAGCTAGTTTTAGAAACTTATTTACTAAGTAGCCATAGAAAGTAACCAAAAAAATTCAATTTTATTTTTTGACTTGGTTTTGAGAGGTTTTGCATCAATTCAGCCTAAATTCCTTTTCTTCTCATTTCTTAGCTATGGATTATGATTTAAAGCAAAAAAAAAAACAATCAATCGATCTTCTCCATTCTGTAACTACAGGAAATTTGCCGACTTTCCTGAGTAAAACATGCGTAATTGCGATGAATCGATAATAATTTGTCGCAAAGGTTCGTCTTGGTTAACCATCTTTTCAACACCAAGCAAACGCCGGCAACAGAGATTGCACCTCCACAGAGGAAGGCTTTATAAGCGCCCTGGGTGATGAAAGGTAAGAGAGTATAAATCAGATTGGCTAAGGCAACACTGATAGCAATAGTGCTTGATTAGTTGTCCTAGTACTCTATATAAGTACTCAGCAGAGATCATTTGAATGGGTTAAAATATATAGCATTCAACGATAAAGTTGGGCGCAAGAAAGTTGAACAGGAAGTTGAAATTAAACGTTGTAAGCTTACGAGAGGCTGTAAAGTCTCCAGCCACAATGATAAGTTTCAAGAGAAAATCTAGAATTGAAGGCAGATTACATCGCATTATAAAACTTCCATGAAGGAGATACTGTCGAGAATCTTTATACAAAGTTCTCTTGCTGCCACTTTGTAATGTTTCAAAATGGTTCACCAGCCTATACCTGGTAGACAGATTTTCAACAAAGAGAAAAAATATGCAATATAATTTCAACAATTGAAAGCTGGGCCACTGAGCACATCACGAAAAGACCGAATGCTGCGAAACACGAAAGCCGTGCGAGCGTTCAACTGAGTAATCGTTACTTTTGCAAAAACTGCTAACATAGAATTCCTAAATATATCTGATATCTAATAAGGAGTACTCAATTACAAGTTAAACAACCGAAGCCATGGGCTCCAGTTTTTAACTTAACTTTATAGCCGGGCTGAAACATTATTAAAACCCCTTGTAATATGGCTGAAAAGTTAGTTTTCATCGCTTTGAGCTAAGGGATTAGATTTTTGCTGATATTTGAGTAACTTCGGGGAGCAATTGCCTTAATGCTCGAACAAAAGTCTTTTTGGATTTAGATTTACATTTGGGTGCTACACCATAGATGTCAATGAGAGATACTAAAATGTAAATTGTGGAGTTATTTTCCTAAGTCTTAAAGTTTTTATTACTTCTTTTGCTGATTTCCGAATGTCAAAATTGGCCTGGCTATTAAGGACTCATATCACTAAGCTTGACTAAAAATTTAATCCTGTAGTATCTCAATTTTTTCCGAATACGTTTTACTCTTAATTGACATCTCTTCGAAATCGTGCTTGATTTCTTTAAGGTCGGTTTTGAATTTTTGAAAAATTTCGTGAAGCTTTTTCTCCTCTTTCCCATAGCGGAATGCGTTTTTCACTTTATTGCCAAGAAAAGAGGCAGATAACCCACTTACAGTAACACCACCACTAATTGTAGCCCCAGCAGCACTTGCTTTCAGTCCAATTCCCACTCCAAGTATTCCACCAAGACCATAACCGATTGCTGCAGCTCCACCAGTGAAACCTATGCAGACAGCAATGAAACAAAAAAGTTCAAATTCCAATTAGAATTTCAATTTAGAGCGGTTTTCATTTGCGGCGCTTTTGACGGTGAGTCTGGGCGGGAGTTGAGAGCCTAGCTAAAGCAAACTTGAGCAAGCCTAGACGCCTTTAAAGCGCCCAAGATAACATATGTGATAATAAACCGTGAAAACTGCTACACTATTTGAACTGGTTCTGAACTCTCTCACGAATAATCTACGAATACGTCTTGGACCTCACATGGATATGCCTTGTTCTGTTTAATAAAAAGATTCGGTTCCATCACCTAAGAGGTAAGCTTCATACAAGCGCGTTTTGTCGAAAAGGTGAGAAGGTGAAGTTAAGTCGAGCCAAAGTTTGGAAATTATGGTGCGCTTGATTAATTAATTTGCCATATAATCAATTATAGAGGTATTGTCCTATCCAGTATCTCAACGCAATATGCAAAACAGCGCTGTAAAGAAAAGCGAAACTACGAATAAAGCTTGAATCCATGTAAATGACCCAAAAGTAATTCTTCTCCAGGATTTTTGTCTTCCATAACAAAAATTGACCGTTCACTAGCAAACTGAGAAAAATATGGAAGACTGTTTTCCGCTTACCTATGAGGGCGCAAGCACAAGCTAATGTGAATCTAGTTCTTTTGCTTTCCCGTTCCTTGAAAGCTTCGATGTCTTTGTCAAAGTCACAAAGGACGTTTTCTGCCTGGTTTATGAGATTTCCCCATGTCTTCAGGGCTGCATCCAATTCAAGCTTTTTCATTTTGATTGGTTTAAGATCTCTCTCCGAACAAGATGCAAGTGATCCCATGCTTTCATTGATCTATAAGTGGAAAATAAAAAGTGGAAAGCTTGATTAGTTGTTAATGTATGTATGTATCATATATTATATAAAAACTACTTTCCTTCAAACTGGAATGTATCATGCGCATGACTGAAATCTGAAAGCTTACCATTTTATCTATGGCCTCCATTATCATGTGTACCTCTTGCTTCGCAAGACAGGTTCGATTGATGAAAAACTTTAATCGCTGGATTACTGGTTGCATTTCTCCTGGCAACCCTTTTGACAACTGATCAATTTCCAGATTGTCAGTCTGGCTCTTTAAGTGTGTCGTCTCCGCCAAGTTAGTAACATAACCATTTACAATCGCAGACACCATGTCACTGATCATTTCTACGACTCGACCTGTTCCATTTCCTTCTTTAACCAATTTTCTTAGATCATTTAATGTTTCATCTAGTTTGAAAACAGATTGTAGCTCCACGGTTATATCTGTGCCAGTTTTTAAGAACACGAGGTCCTGCACGGCCCTTACACACGTTTGAAATGTGGTTTCATCAAACATTGTGTGGATATCCTGCAATATAATAAAAAAAAACTCTTGAATACCGACAAGTATTCGCTGTAGGAAGCGGTTAAGATTCAGTTAATTACAGAATTTCCTGTCATCAAACTTACCTTATACGGGGTAGGAGTGCGGGCTTATTTCCAGAATTACCCAACAAATGTGAAAAATTAACCTTTATTCTTAATCATTAACTGAGATTTATCGACTGCCGACCAAAATCGAAGATTTTTGCTGACTACCGACAAAGTAATGAAATTCTAATGAGGACCCCCCTCCCACCATTCATACCCCTTGGAAAAGCTATTGGTGATGGATCATGTGATTCGTCAGCAGAGAATCTGATGACCTCATCATGACGGATCAATTCTCACGAATTCCTTGCTCATAAGTAATAAAACGGAAAAGTCGGCTTCTGCACACTGGATCTCGTCTCGTTCGTTTAATCATTTCATGAATGAAGGATCTTTAGAACGACTGCCGAAGCGCTGCGCGGTAAACTGGAAATATAGTAAGCCGCTATTAAAAAAAGAGAAAGATCTTACGCTGCTAAATTGCATCTCATTGAGGATTTGCTTACCTTTTCCTAACTTGCATTTGATAACTTTGCAAGTAGAGAGCTACGAAAACGAAGTCACAGTTTGATAATACATGATTGTGTTATGCAAGGAATGCATCTTGTTGCGCATTGCGTCCATTTGGATTAAACTGATCACTTTTTTTAAACTGATATACGGATATTTAGTCTATGATTAAATAACAGCCGGTAAATTAAATAATTTATCATACGATCGAACACACGGAATTCAAATTCGGCGGAGAAATATCTTTGAAATTGCTATCACGACATTCCTTTCATACCGGCACTGGCCCACGGGCGCTGTCGGAAACCTGAATTGCGTTCCGAACTATTCGATCAAATTGTATACGTGAACTCACCTTAACGCCAATCAGAGTTACTTCAAATGAATATGAATCTCTCAGTAATTTATTTTTCTTCACTGCGATGAAGGCAAAACGATTCCTCGACTCTAGATTCGCGAGTGCGCCCCAACTTCGTTAGCCAACAAATGCGCTATGGACTTTGGAACTGCACCTTAATTATGGATAAACAACCAACCCTTTAGCCAATCAAAACAGAATGATCGGAACCTGTAAGACCGGTTTTTGGGCTATAAATATTTTTATGAAACAAGTGGGTTGGGCATGAAATAGTACCTCTATTATGGTATGTAAACAGCCCCCTCTAATTGATTGAGGCCATGACAACTTCAAAGTGTTCAAAATTGCATTAATAAGTCCCAGGAATTAAAATTACTTTGCGAAACATTGGCTTGTTTAGCTGCATTCCAATCGATGGCATTGTCTCATCCAGAAGATGCGTTTTTAGTTGTTATTAGGGACCTCAAGTGGTCACGACGCTAAAATGTTTTGGAAAAGGCCCGTTATAAGATGAACTTCAGTATTTTTATGAAATTACGCAAAGAGCTCGAAGTTTTCAACGTCTCGAGCTTTACCAAACCCTTTTTTTATTGTAACATGTTAGGCCAGTAGAGTTCCCACAAGAAAATTTACCTGCCCTCGGAGCTCTCTCTCTCTAAATACGCAAAATTTGATAAATCAAAGTAGTTGTTTGGAGAGTTGCAATCACGCTTTGTAAAGCATTGGTTAAATATCGTGGGTGACTGATTCGTTGTTTTGTGTTCGTGGAATTGCTTTATGTTCATGTTTAGACTAAGTCATAAATCTGATGCCGTGCTTTAATTTCCGAAGTAATATTGTTTTCGAATTAAGAGTGACTTATAGAAGCAAATACGACCTTAAATTCAGCTTTCAGTGTTTAATGCTTTTAAGAAATAGTACATAACGCACAACTTACGTTAACAGGGACGTTCCCATTTGATGTCATTTCAGTGACACTTTTGAGCAGCATCGCTGCTTAGCTGGGCTGTTTCGGAAGGCAGTGCGAACTTAGTGTAGCCTAGTATTTCAAAATAAAAGATTTCAGTGCCTAAGTGTCTGATTTACGTTAAGTGGCATTTTGAGAAAATGAAAATGAAAATAGAGCGACGTCGGCTTTTGCTTCTAGTCGCTCGGACGCCATTGATTGTCGGCGTGTCTCTTAAGTTCAAGCCTTTTAGTAAGAAGTAAGGTATAGTGAATATTATTTCTCGATTAAACAAGTCAATACCATTGTTAACAAACTAAAGGCAAACGTGAAATGTGTGGATTTCGGATGGATACGATGATAGTTATGGTGAATTGCAAGCCAGCTTGATGGCAGAATCACAACTGTCCTTCCTCTACCAGTCGCAATAATTCATTTATTGCCTCGTAAAGCTCTTTAAAAGATAAAGACTAAACGAAAAAATCAAACTAAAACAAAAACAAAACAAACCACTCGACATCCGACACAAATTTTATGGTCCTTTTCTGTAAACTTATCAAAGAGAAATCTTTATCGCTGGTGTTTATCTCGCATTTTTTCCATTTCTTTAAATTTACTCTGTCTTCAGTACACTGACTAATGAGCCCTCCAAAAGACACTACAGTAATGTTATGCAATCAGAAAAAAGACAGCAATTTTGACTAGGACCTTAGTACTATTTAACTTTTAATTTTACGAAACTTAAACAGGAAAGAATTCTTTGATGCATTTGTTATGTACTATATAGCACAAACAGTTTTCGAAACATATGGTCAATATGCAGCACCATTTGCAACTTTTATGCTATGTACATCTGTGAGGAATTTCTGAGAATCAAGCTCGCGATAGTCCTAAAAAAATAAGCGAAAAGTCTTCTCGGGTTCAGCCATTTCAATAAAAATTCCTAGAAATACGAGGATACGTCAAAAGCTAGAGCACATAACAGAATCAATTTCATGGAATTCACCAAATCATCGTCAAGTTACCTCGATTTATGGCTAAATTCCAATCAATGATTTTAGGGACCGAACAAGTCAAACGAAAGGGACTCACTGGTGTTTCCTCTCGCTGAGAACAAAGCTCATGATTAATTTTACAGAGGATTTGAACTGGGCTGTAAACCAACTCGGATGTTATTAGAATAACAATAAGAAATAGCTACGTCTCCAAATGTGTTGTTGTTCGCTGCGATGCAGAGCTAACAATTCATTATTTCAGCCAACGGTTTACTAATAAGATTGAAAAGTACAACTCTCGCCGAGAATATAGCTCCTGATTAATCTTTAAGTGGATTTGAACTGGCCATGGGTTGTGAAAGGGCAGAGTTGCGCACATATTAGAATGACAGTAAGAAATAGAAACGTCTGCAAATGATTTGTTGTTCGCTGTGATGCAGAGCAAAGAATTCATTATTTAAGCCATTGGTTTACAAATAGGAATGAAAAGGACAACAAGCACCTTAATTTCTTACTTGTAAATTCTCATTATATGCGTGATATTTTTCCTTTAACAAGAAGAATAATGAAACGAAGAGAAAGCACGATCCTCAGAGACTAACGCCTCCTTCAACAAAGCCCAATATATTACAAAAGGTTAAGTTATTTTAAAGGAAAACGAATTGCAAAATTTGTAAAGTAACAGTTCTATTGTTTTTCAATTGTCGTGAATAGCGAAAACTCCTCGTGGCAAATGTGTTTATATCATTGAATCTATTAGGACCTTTCATCTCATGGTCAAATTCCAAAAATATAGTCTTCTTCAGATAATTAGGACAGATTTCATGATTATCTTTTGCTCACCTTATCAAATCGGTTCCCAATTTCAAGAAAAAGGTTGACAGACTCAGAAAATCTCACTAGATTAGGAGGAGCAGAGATGTTCTTTGAGGTCCTTCCTGCAACACATCTAGCCAAACCCATCTCGGCAGCTTCACGGCCTTTCCTCGAGGTTGTGTGGATCGGGTTTTTCTTTACCAGTTTAAATTTCCTATGTTCAGGAGAATGGTGGCCCTTTACAAGAAATTATGCTCTAAAGCAAGTTACTGTGCCCAAGGGTTGCGACAATTAAACGATTCAACGGCATAAATGCTAGGATGACTACTTCATTTATCTTCGACGTGAAAACCATCTTATGTCTTCAGACTTACAAGTGAAAAGCAAGAACCAAGTTGAATTGATTAGAGATTCTCATTTATCCGTCATCTATCAATGGCAATAAATCATTTACATCTAGGTCCTTTAGAGCTCTTCAAAGGTAAAATACAAAAAAAAACCAAACATATGATAACCGGCGCGTGCTTATTCTCTCCTGTAGACTGATTCTCCTCAATCAAGTCAACCCTATATCTCTGATGTTTATCAAAGATTTGTTTCATTCCTTTAATCTGCCCTCTTTAAATTTAACAGTGAACTCTTCAAGTTGCATGACTGAGCTTTAACACTCAAAAAATGAAGACAACAATAATTTAAACTTGCACATCAGATATACTAACACTAATTTTGCAAAGCTCCAACAGGAAGTAATTCCCACAAGTATTTAGGTATTTTATAACACACATTTTCGAAACATATCATTAGCACGTAACAATATTTGCAACTTTTATGCTGTCTAGATCTGAGTGGAATTTCTAAGAATCAAGCACGCGATGACGTGAAAAAGAAATTAACCTTGAATCTCCTCGGTTCAGTCTTTGCAGAAGAAATTCCTAGAAACCCGAAAACATGTCATATGCAAGAGCACATGGGAGAATTAATTTCATGGAATTCAAAATCGTCAAAATTCCGATTCATGGCGAGATTCATGACATTTGACGATCAAGCGAGTGAGCTGAAGGGAAGTGACAATGGATTTAGTTAAGCTGGGTTTAAAATGAACCATGCGTACGAAATCTCTCAACTCGCGTACATTAAGTGTAAACTCCCCTCATTAAGAAGGTCTTTCACAACAAACTACTGCTGCTCACCATGATGTTGAGCAAATACATCGTTACTTAAGTTATCGGTTTATAAGTTCAATTAAGAGAAAAATTCACTTTAATTTACTTACTTGGCGAAGCTCAGAATAGGTGATATTTGTGCCCAAGCAATAACCCGAAATAAAACAGACAAGCATCGGGGAGATACAGCAATCCACAGAGACCAAAGCCACCTTCAATAAGGATCAATGAGGCAAAAGTATTGCGGACGTTTGAGTTCTAACGAAAAGCGAATACAAAACACTTGTGAACTAATAATTCTTTTCCAGTGTAATTGTTGTGAATACTGAATATTCTTCATGGAAATCAACGATCTTTATTACCAGGCGATATATGACCTTTTAATCTCGTGTCTGAGTTCCTAGAAAACAGCCTGCTCCACAAGGCAATTCTTTTATGTATATCGTTTGTTCATTTCGAAGAATCAGTTCCATAGTAACAAGAAAAAGGCTGACAACTATTTCAGAGTATCTCACCAGTCTGAGAGTGGAAATGCACTTTGAATTCATTTCAGTTTCTGACATCAAAACAAAAAAATACATCAATTAGGAGATGCAACTATATAGTCTGCTTCATGAGAAGTGCTGCTTTATTTGGCTTCGCCGCTTACTCTATCTTACACACTAAACTTTTAAAGCGAAAAGTAATACATTAAAGTACATCCTTGGATTTCTGGCTCAGTTTAGGGTTAAAAAAATCCGAAATTGTTTACAATTAATATATTATGGACCAAAGATGACCTAAATCTTTGAGGTGAAGAAGGAGACGTCTTTCTTGACGGAAACGGTAATACTAGATCATTTGACCTCTGAATATGATTTCACTCGTTCGCTTTCCTAGAAAACGACATCCTTGGCAAGAATGGTCTGGTGCTTAGCGTTTGTTTCATTAGAACAGCTCTGTGATAATTTAGAAACAAACATAATTTTTGTATGGCCTACAATACAATTTGTTTATTGCGAAATCAGTTCTTACCAGGGTTACAGGTACTGATTTCAGACCGAGACACAAAATGAAAATTGATAAGTTGTGTAAAGTGTAACAGAGGGGTACGCTTCTTTGTGTCGAGCTTCTTGAAACTATAATTGCGAATTCCAAGACCTAAAACTTGATGAGTATAAATTTAACCTTGGTAAGGACTACATCTCCTAACGCAATCTTTTGACATCTATTTGTAAAATGACTTGCTTCAGAATTTAATTCTCTCGAGGGTGACCCTAACGATAATCACGAGAATGGCTTTCCTTTGTGTAAAGAATGCTGTTTTCCAGGAATACAGACATGAGATTAAAAGGTCATACAGCCTGGTATAAAGACTGTGGATTTCCTTGGGTAATATTAACTATTCACGACTACAGAACGACAAAAGATCTGTTGGTTCGCTTGAATTCGTTACTCGTAACAACTTGACCTTCTCTGGTATATTTGCCTTTACCGAGGGCAGCTTTGGTCTCTGCGCTGGTCACTGTATCTCACGCGATTGTTATTTCGGGTTATATCGCGGTTACATAAAGCTTTGCCAAGTAAGTAAATTAAGATATATGTATCTTGTACACCGCATGCTCAAGTAATGAAGTATTTGCTCTGTATTCCAATAAACAACACACATTAGGAGACATTGATATTTGTTAATTGTTCTTCATGTGAAAGATCGCCTGTAGGTATAAAATATGTACACATGGTTCGTTTACAACCCAATTCAACATCCACTAGTTTCTTATTCTCGGCAAAAAAGGAAACAATACTCAGTCAACTTCGTTTCGCTTTCGTGATGCTTCAAATCGTTGACTGGAAGCTAAGCTCGCCATGAATGGCAGCAACTTGACGATCATCTTTTGAATTCCCTGAAATTGATTCAGTCACGTGCTTTAGCATTAGAAATATATTTTCATATTTCTATGAAATCTCGTGAGCTTAATCACTTGCTTGATTCTCAGAAATTCCATCCGCACTTAGAATAGAAAGTTGCAAATGATGTTAGGCAGTAACGATAAATTTCAGTCGAAACTTTGAGTACTAAATGACACCAAAAAATGTTTGCAAGAAAAGAATTCCTTTTGAACAAGATAAATATAGAAACCAAATCGATAAATCGTTGTCCAACGGATAAGTGCTGAAAAAATGTACTGCACTATCCATTGGATAGATGCTGTTTTGTAAGAAAGCGAACGAGTAAAGAGTATTTAAAGGCCAAAACCTTCAGCATTAATTTTCTCTATTTACTTGAAATATTCAGCTCATATTCGGTCCTGAACTTATTAAGTGTCAAGATTTTTCGAATCGTTTGATGTATATTCTCAGACAGTCTTAAGTTTGGGACCGCACTTTAACTGCGCACCTGCGTCTCAACAGGAAGTCTGATGACTAATATGGTTTTCACGTCGAAGACAAATGAATTTAGTACTCACAGCTTTTTGATGTTGAATCTACTGATTTTCTCCATCTTTTTGCACAATGACTTGCTTCAGAGTATAACTTTCTTGCAAAGAGGGACCATTCTCAGCTCTAGAGCTTGAGAAATTTTAAACAACTAAAGAAAAAACGTTGATATCCACGCTTCCTCGTGGAACGGCCGTGGAGCTGCTGAGATGAGTTTGGTTTGATGCGTTTCTGAAATGACTTCAAAATGGATTTCGGCCGTTAGACTGGCATAGTTCGTTTATATCTAACAAAATAGATGTACAGATAGACCTAGAATCGAAATAACCAAGGCTAAGATAAACAACAGAAGTGCAGATTTGACTCGCGTGAATTGAAGAGGTTCAATTTTGAAGAAAAGTATTTGTATACGCCTATTGTCATGTTTTGTTTTATTCACTGCAAATATTTAGCTCGTATTAGATCCTGAAGTTGGTATCAATAAGTGACAAGATTTTCATGAAAAGTTTCATAGATATTGTTATAAATATTGAGATCAAGCTTTTATTTCATGCCCTCCACCCATAAAATCTAAGGACACAATAACTTTTTCACAGCGAAGACAAATGAAATAATCACTTAGAATTATTCACCTGAAACTACTGAAGGACAAATCTTTGTGCACAATAACTTGCTTTAGAGAATAATTTTCGCGAAGGGGACGACGATGGAATTCTTTCGAGCAGGGAAAAGTTAACCGAGTAAAGAAACACACTGATATGCAAGCTTTCTCGTGGAACGGCCCCGAAGCTGCGAGATCGGTTTGACGAGTTAATGAAATGAATTGAAAGTGTTCTTATATCCTAGTAAGATGATTTTATTTTGTCGATATTTTGACGATGGAACCGTTTCGCTGAAATGAACAAATAATCACTCATGAGACGTATTTTGAATTGTCTGAAAAAAGCTATTTTCTGGGAATTCGAAAACCCCACGAGCGTTACTTACTCATCCCAGAAGCAATATTACCACAAAAGCGGTAGTGATCGATTAAACAGTGGTATGATTTCAATTCACTTGCGCCAGGTATGAGCGGAGATACACTTTTTACGGCTCTTAAATTGAATTTGTGCTATTTTCCTCACGCTGCACTCGTCTGGAATCGTTAGGAAGGAAAAAAAAAACAAAACAAAGCATCGTATAATTATCCCACAGTATATAACCATGGTTTATAACGCGTGACTTCAACTATCCTAACAAAAAGTGAAATATTGGGTATATTGTGTATTCCTGGACGACAAGATGTCATCGATTTGAATGCGGCCAAACTAATGGTTTGCTAATTTTTACTAACGAGGCCTCTCCAGACAAAGTTTTCTGGATCCAATTTTTGGCGTGTTTCTAATAACCTTTTTGTGCAAAAAATTTTGATGCGATGCGGAGCCATAGCTTCAAGCAATTGAAGGGGGGTGTCAGCATATCCTGATATGGTGATTACTCCATGCCCCCACCCACTTTTCAACCAAAATAACTCAAGAACCTGTTTGACAAGTTCAAGATTATTCCTTTTTGATTGTTTAGCGAGTTGTTTTTTCATCCGAAATAGAAGTGCATACAGAATATGTTCGCATATCTCGCAGCACAATGCAGGTGTCTTACAAAAGGAGCGTCACGTCATGATTGCAATTCCAAGACTGCAACATATCCGCAGAATTTGTATTCCGGCGGTTTGATCGCAAGAAAAAGCTCTACATACGCTACAAGTTTATCACTGACAGTCTTGTGTGAAGCTAAGCTTAATCGATTTTGACCAAATTAATGCAATACTTAATAAGCTGCCGACCTTAGGTATCTCAGCCATGGATCATCAAAGACAGCATTGTTTTCAAAGCCGCTCTCTCCTTGAAGAATTATCCAAGTTGTCAATTACATACTCTTTAAAAGGCAATTTTCTGGGGCAATGTTTTATAAGATGTTATTTGGCTAATAGATAACAGCAGACTACTTGCCCAGTGCATTGCGCAGAGCTTCGGCAGCAGTTTCTGCAGCCGTTTTCCTGAGTTACTGCCATCAAATGACTTTAAATTTATAAAATGATCAGAAGAGGAGAAAAAACATCTGTCATCTGTTCTGGTTTCTAATGGTTATCCTTTTTCTTTATTGCAGAAACTTACCAAGACCGGAAAACCAAACAACAGTGCCGAACCCGCCACCGAGTTCAAAGCCACTGCGGTTTTACTTTATGTTAAAGGTCTATCCGAACAGCTTCGCCATTGCCTACAACAAATAGGCGTACGCGCTGTTTTCAAGTCGGAGACTACGCTAAGATCTCAGTTAGTACGACCAAAAGACGCTGTCGACCCGGCTAAAAAAGATGGTGTAGTTTACAGGATTCCATGTGAATGCGGCAAGGTGTACATCGGAGAGACTGGAAGACCTATGCAAGACAGAATTAAGGAGCACGATCGAGACATTCGACTAGCCCGTACTGAGACCTCCGCCGTTTCAGAACATGCCCACAACACCGGACACAAGCCACTCTGGAACGAAGTAAAGTTTATTGATCGTGACCCTCATTACTACACGCGCAGGGTCAAAGAGGCTATTCATATAAGACTTCACCCTAACAACAACAACGGGGATAGTGGAATAGAAATTCCAGAAGCGTGGATGCCCTCGATCAAGAAACACAACAACAGGAGAGCCGTGCGACAGCGGACCGCCGAGGGAGCAAATCACTGAGTGAACAGCAAGGATCGAAATGCACCAATCAGAGCTGTTGAAAAAAAACTAATCACAGCAGAGCATCATGCTCTATAAGATCACGCATGACCAGTCGACCTCATCGCCTGAAGAAGACTAGCAGTATGCAGTCGAAACGTCGTGATCTACATCACACGTGACTTCATAGAGAGACAAACGAAAAACTTAGCTTTTTATTGTTATTCGCCACGATGAATAACCACAACCTTTTCTACGAAAAGATATGAAATATTCGATAAACGGACCCGGGCAACATTAGCTGACGGAATTTCTCTGAAAATATCCTAGATGCGTCTTTGAAGCCATTGAGGTTTTCTGGTCAGCTAAGGTCTATTGAGTAGAGGTCACTTTTATTCATATGAGAGATCGTGTGATACAGTCCTAGATAAATCTCTGAATGCATGAAAGAAGGATAAAAGTCATGAACTTACGGATCTGATATCAAAACAACTTTTCTGTCCTGGATACCAACTTCTAAATAGCTTGGAACCACAAATGCATGCTCAATTTTACGGATTCTCTTTCAAGAACAGTACGGCATCAGTTCGTTTCCAGACTATGTCTTCGCAAAAATAAAAACAAATTAGAGACCTAAGCTTCACAACATATTTTCAAAACAAAGGGATCCTTAGAAAATCCAGATGTTTCCTTTTTTTCAGTACCTACCGTCAATCATTCTGGCTGCAAATGAGATTTGTTTGCATAGGACTTTGGGGGTAATCAAGAAGTTAATGTCGGAAGCAGGTGGTAAGATCTTGGCCGAGGACCTGGAAATCGTTTCTCGGCTGCAGGAGTCGTTTCGTGAAGTGCTAAAGGCAAATTCCAGTAAAGGAAGTAACTTTATTGAGAAAGTATTGTGTCATTTAATCACTGCAACCGACTACATTTTTCTTATGACGAAAAGTGCAATCTTATAAAGCAAGGTCACAAAAATGAAGAAGTCAGAAGTTCTCCAAAAAGCGCCGAGATTAATTGAATCTATTCAAGAGGTGGTGGATCATCTAACTGCCGTTGAGAGAGCGAAGAATAAAGAAACCAAATCATCAGATCACAGATGAGATTCCATACATATGTTTTACTTTCACAGATCTGCAACGGGGGGCCCATTACGCAAGTCGTCCTTTTGTTTCTCAAACTGTGGGTGCAAATAGAAGAAATAGGCGTTAAGTCACGTTGGCCAATCATTGTGCGTTCTCTGCAGCTTGTGAGCCGAATTATAAATTAAGATTAATTAGCAGTTCTAAATCCATGCCATCCAGTTAAACTTTACTTCCCCTACTTCAGTCGCTGGAGCTAACCTCGCGTTTCGATCACAGTAACTGTAATGAAACCATTTAAAAATAATACCAACCCTTGAATTTTCAAAATGATACGAGAAAAAATTTAGGAAGTGCAGTTTTTTTTCTTTCTGCAACCATTTCCAGTTGTGAGGGCATTTCATTTCAGTGATAACAGCAGAGCCTGCAGCGCACCGTTGCGCGCGCGTAGACTGATTTGCACAAAAGCCTAGAAAGTTTGGAAACCCATGCCCATAAAATTTGGTCGCAGTGTCATAGCGAGGTGGAAGTAATACTCGTAAAACCGACCCATAAGTATGAGTGCGGATTACCTCGCAATAAACTTGAAAGGGTCCCGATTTTGCTAAAATGAAAACTAGTCATAACGACAACGAAAGCTCAATTTCTGAGTAAGGCGCAGATGAATGACAATGACAATGACAATACTTTATTCAAGAGATGGAAAATGAAAAATTGTAAAAGTATCTCTCGAAAGGGGATATTCTAGAAGTTAACCCTATACAAGAGATTCCCCGAATAAAAAGACCAAAACATTATATACAGATAATTAAAAACTGTTTATCATCATCTCAATCAATATTCATTTAAGTCTTTAGTCTGTTACGAAATAAAGTCAATGATCCTGCGTGTACTATATCTTTAGGCAAATTTTTCCACATATTAACGATCCGTACAAAAAAAGAAAATTTATAGCAATTTACGATAGCTATTTTTACGTAGAGCTTATAATCGTGATTGGCTTTAGTGCGATTACATTTAGTAAGTTCGAAAAAGTCCGAAAAAGGAAGACTATCTATTCCCAGAACTATCTTGTAGTACTGGATCAGAGATAAAAACTCTCTTCGTTTCTCCAAAGTTTGCCAATTCAGCAGGCGGCAGCGGTCTTCATAGCTCATTTCTCCGCGTTTTTGCTTTAACACCGACCGAGATGCCCATCTTTGGACTTTTTCCAAGGATTCGATATCCTTTTGTTGGTAGGGGCTCCAGACGGGGACAGCGTATTCCAGTATAGGTCGTAATAACGACTTAGAGAGAGGCAGTAAAACGCATAGCGATTATCGTTTCAAAGTGCTCGCCTAATTATACCTAACACTTTGTTCGCCTTGTTTACTATGTAGGAAACGTGTTTACCCCAAGATAGATCGTAGTTTATTGTGACCCCTAGGTCCTTGGCACGGTTGACAGATTTTAGTTGCGTACCAAGGGAATAACTTGGCTTGGATCTGTCTCTACTGGGCGTTACACGCATAACTTCACATTTTTCAGGATTAAAGCGCAACAGCCACTTGTTAGCCCAATCGCTTAATTTGTTCAAGTCCAGCTGTAAGGCTGGTATATCCTTATCAGGCTCCATGATCTTGCGATTGATTTTAGTATCATCAGCGTAGATTTTCACGGTTGATGTAATGTTTGCCGAAATATCATTTATATAAATAACGAATAGGATTGGGCCGAGTACTGTTCCTTGACGGGTGACTAGTCTGAACAATTGCCCCTTAACACGACACGCTGCCTTCTATTCGTCAAAAAATTTCTAATTCACAGTACAGAGAGCCGTCTATCCCATACCGTTGTAGTTTCAGTAGCAAACGCTCGTGTGGCACGCTGTCGAAAGCCTTAGAGAGATCTAAGAAGATGACATCCGTTTGTTGCGAGCAATTCCTAGCCTTTGCCCAGTCATTGTAACATGTAAGTAATTGTGCCAACGTCGATTTACCCCTTAGATACGCAAATTAGTCTGGATTAAAAAGATTGAGGTTTGACCAAAATTCGACCACACGGGACTTTACCACAGCTTCTGCAATCTTGCAAACAATACAAGTCAGTGATATTTGGCAGTAGTTCTCCATGAGATTTTTGCTCCCTTTCTTATGGGCTGGAGTGATGTGGGCCGACTTCCATATACTTGGTAGTTGACCTTGTATTAAAAAATGAAGCCAATGAAGATGACAACATTTGAGCACATTCTCTTAGGATGCGAGGTGATATGTAGTCGGGCCCAGGGGACTTATAAATATTCAAATTTCTTAGCAATTTCTCAACTTACGTGGTAGAACAAAAGATGTTACATAATTTCTCATCGGTAATATATTCGAGGTCGGGAAAATTTTCATGACCCTCAACAGGAAACGCCGATGAGAAATAAGAATTCATACAATTGGCAGTGCTCAGGTCGTCGTTAAGATACGAATCGTTCACCTTTAAGGACGCTAAATCACATTTAACTTTTCTCTTTGATTGAACAAAGTTCCAAAAAGGCTTTGAACTGTTTCCGGTCTTAAGTTCATCTGCCAGATTGTTTACAAATTGCCTACGTGCAGAGTTGCACTCCTTCTTCACATAGTTGTTGAATTTACGATATTTGTTCCAATCAGACAGAGCACAGGTTTTTTTTTGCCCTTTTATAAAGCACTTTCTTTCTCCTTCACAACTTAATTAGATCCCCGCTTATCCATGGTGCATTTGAAGTTCTCTTCACTGTCCGCCTTGGGATACACTCGTTGACAGCAGATAAAAACATATCTGACCATGCAGCCCAAATACAATCAATGTTAGTATCCATAAAGGAACAATGCCATGGAGTGTAATATAAAAGATTCCTGAGGTGATTCCAATCCGCCTTCTTAAATGAATAGCTCAACTTCTGCGATTTCCTTCCAGAGATGATTTTCTCGATAATAACATAGAGATCGAGTTATGGTCAGAGAAGGGCAGGCCAACTTTTAGATCGTAGACTAAGTCAAGAGACGTGACGAATACTAAGTCTAAGATATTTCCGTTGCGAGTTGGGTCGTTGACCAGCTGGAATAGAAAATTGTCGTGTATGATATCCGACAAAAAAGTAGCGTTAGGTGAATTCACAGAGGCGCAGTCGGTGTTCCAGTCGAATTCGGGAATATCAAAGATTTGATATGACGGTCCTACGTTCCGATAGCGCTGAAGGCGGTCATTCCTACATAAATTTAATTATTTTCCTGCTCCTTTCAGTATTTACCGGTAGAGCTGGAGCAATCGCATCTAGCGTTGATGCAATTACAGCAGCAGGAATTGGTGCTACTCCTTTGATGGGGGACGGAGCCGCATGTGGGCTTCGTTCCTTCATTAACTGCTGGTGCGTTTTACCGCTACAACAAAGGGAATCGAGTTACGAGTTGCGCCAAATAAATTTCGAATTAAAGACCCGGCTCATGGTGCTTCAGACGGAGTTTGTGGCTAAAGAAAATCACAGCAAAACCCTGGATATTTCTATCAATGTCCTAAAGTTTTTGCGAGAATACCGGGAGCATTGAGTTTGGTCGTGTGCTGATTGTACGCTATAATATTAGCAAATTTTAAGTTATCTTCTATCAGTGACAGTTATCATATAAAATTCTTACAGACTTTGGGTAAAATGTAATGTTTTCCAAAGTGTTTGTATTGCTGATAATATATTTATGGATAATGCACCTATAGCGCATGAGCCAAAAAATATTTATTGCTTTGTGTCTTTTCGATTTTATACAATCCATCGTCCACCTTCTACCGTCTATCGTCTATCGTTGACCATTATTTGTCTCCCTTCTAGTCCATGCCATAAGTAGTTTTAAGCAAGGTTTTACAAATTTTGCAGCCCAAAAAATGTTTCTTTCTTATCCTTTTGTTTTCTTATTCTGTAAAATCAGTATTAATCCGAGCTTTCTG